ACTTTCTTCTTTATTTTTACATTCAGAATGCTTTAAAAATTCCATTTAGAAGACAATTGTTTATAATAAAATTCTATTCAATCGGTAGACTCATAACGATTGAAAACAATGTTTTTGTTTGAGTTTGGTTTGAATAATAAACAAAAAAAAAAAAAAAACTAATTAAGACATGCGTGTCCGTCAACCTTAAACAATAATCTTTGTCAATTTTATTTTTCAGTCATTATGTTGGGCGATACTTGATCTATCTCTTACTGTTACATCCCCGGGCAACGCCGGGTTCTACTGCTAGTCATCTGATAAATCTTTATTGTTTATAGTTGGTTACTTAGTTGATTTTCTTTAGCGGTATATCAACCTTTATGGGTTATTTAATGCTAAAACCGAAGTATTTTGAACACAGTTTTATGGCTTCAACAATTTTTTTTTGAACGCAATTGTATACCTTCAACTACAGAAAAATATATTGTTGGTCATTTGCTAACCAATGTATTGTTGGTGATTCTACTATAAAATGCATGTTTTGTTTGATCTTTTGTTTGTTTAGTGGCAGATCAACTGATTATGGGTCATTTGATCCCGAAATTTATTTTTTTGTGAACTTTGAAGTAATAAAAATATGATATATTTTATTCTCTTTCACAATTGAATACATGGTAGATGATACGCAATTTTATCATATAAATGTTTTTTGGAAATAAAAAGAGGGAATGACTTTTTTTTATCTTGTAGTTTTTGATGTTTTAATTTTAGAATATAGTTTAATTTCTTGAAGAAATTGCAGGGTACTATATGGATTATTTATATTTTGGAATATAGTTTAATTTCTTGAAGAAATTGCAGGGTACTATATGGATTATTTATATTTTGGAATATAGTTTAATTTCTTTAAGAAATTGCAGGGTACTATATGGATTATTTATATTTTGGAATATAGTTTAATTTCTTTAAGAAATTGCAGGGTACTATATGGATTAATGTCATGAAACAGTTCATTCATATTGGTTGTTTGGTTGACTGATTTTGTTTGGCGGCATGTCAACACCTCTATGGGTTATTTAATGCTGAAATCAAAATAGTTTGAAAACAATTTCATGGCTTCAACTAAATATATTTTGAACTCAATTGTAAGTCCTTTACAAATAAAATGTATTGTTGATCATTTTGCTATAAATAGGTATTGTTGGTAATTTTATTATAAAAATATATTTTTATACTTTCATAGTGTTTTGTTTTTGTTTGAGGGTTCATTATTTGCACATATTTGGGATCCTATCCGGTGTTACCACCTCGGGCCAGGGTGTACTTGGGAAAATATAAAATCTACCAAGAATGGGGATATGTATATCTATTTATCTATCTATCTATGATGTAATCTTTTTTTTTATTACAAGCTTAGAAAAAATAACATTTTACAACCTACAACATAACGTAAAGAATAGTAATGTAAGCTGCTCATTGCAAAGATCAAATAGCGACATGAAAATAATAATGAATAAAACACAGCAACTCGACTGCAAGTTGAATTTCACCTTCAATCAGAAGTCAGTGTGTTTTTTTAAATTTGATATCTCCGTCTCTCTGTTTCTCTCTGTCTGTCTGTCTCTCCACTCTCTCTCTCTCTCTCTCTCTCTCTCTCTCTCTCTCTATATATATATATATATATATATATATATATATATATATATATGTGTGTGTGTGTGTAGGATTGAGGAATCGGAGAGCCGAGTTCGAATTCCAATCGAATCCATTATATTCACTTACATGCTAATACCCTTCGAAAAGATGTGAATCCTCTTCTTCTCCCTCCATCTATGGGTAAATAGCAGGACAGACTGGGTTCTAAAGCCTTGGATGGCAACTCGTCTAGGAGAAGGACAACTCTGAATTCAAAACCTGCGGAGGGTCGTTTGGGGACCTTGTGGCACGTCGTGCACCAGGTCTCTGTATTTGGCCCTTCAAAAAGTGTGGATGGTTCTGCACGAAACCTTCACCACTATAATCAAATCTCATGTGCCGCTGTCGGTTTTCTGGAAACTGATCTGCTTGACCCTCATACGTCGAATTCGATGGGAGAGTAGTGTATATTTATATGGTGGACTCTGAGGGTCAGCATTGGATGGTGCCTTTCGCTTTACACTTATGCATGCTAGCAGGGCTATTGTGCAGAAAATCAACCGAGGGAAAATATTTAATTTGTGTTTTCTCAACTGCGATACTCGCCCAGCCTTCCTGCGGACGACAAAACCACATTGACAGAGGAAATTTGTTAAAGCAGGATTTTGATGGCGTCTTTGTCTCAGAGCTTGACGAAGCTGATCATAAAAAAAAACCCCAAAAACTTTTCTTAGCTGACGTCAGTTAAATAGTTTTTCCTCTTCTGTTTTTGTTCATATATATATATATATATATATATATATATATATATATGAATAATTGAAGAAGAGGAAAACTATTTTATCTGACGCATTTCATCATCTGAGGTACTTTTTGGAAACGCGTCAGCTAAGAATAGTTTTTAATTTTGACTTTTTATTCATTTTGTTTCTTTAAAGATACACTCCATCTGAAAATAACTCACACACACACACATACACACATACACGCACACATATATATGTATATAGAAAAGAGTGGACACTGAGGACAACACCGATAGGGGACAGTCTATTTCATGCTTGAATGCAATTTTCAGACCTGAAAACTACGTCTGTGTTATTACATGAAGATTTCGTTCATGAATGAAACATAGTTTTGACCTCAGTGTTCAGTCTTAAATTTTTACACGTCCCATCTCTGATATAGAACTCATAAATACAGGCTGTCCATAAAGTTCGTGTGCACTTTAAAAAATTTCTAACTTTGTTTGTATTTGTGAAAGAAATAATCTGTAAAAATGTTATAAAGTTTAATGTACCTAGTTTTAAGTATAGCGAAAATAACTAATGTGATTTCAGGCATTACTGTAAATCAGTTGGCAAATGTTTCCCGTGAACTGCAAAATCGTATTACCCGTTGTATGGCTAATGATGGAGGATATGTGCAAACTTAAATAAAATTTCAATAAAACCTTAAAAAATGTAGATTTACTTCTTTCTATTCCTTTTTACAGATTATTTCTATCGCAAATACAAATAAAGTTATAAATTGTTTAAAGTGCACACGAACTTTATGGACACCCTGTTAAAATTATATTTTTAACATGTCACACACACAAACACGCACGCGTGCACACTCACCCATATGTAGATGACTCTATCGATTAAATCACTATTCAAGAAATATTAATTTTACTAGATTTTATTACATATTATCTTTTTATTACATGGCTGCAACATCCACATGGTGGGAAATGTTGGTTATATATGTAGTTAGTTATATTTAAACATGACATGCGCAGTGATTCTTTAGTGGTACGGTGATGATCGCATTCACTTTTGTAATGGTCCGCATGTCGAGGTTGCTAACCATCACTTGATGGAAGAGGCTCTTATGCATTTCACGGTAGACATGCAATCAAGTGCAAGCAAAGAGAACGCATATCGACTTATGTTTGACATTTGCTTTTATAGAAAAAAAAAGAAGTTTTCTCTCGATTCGTAATCATCTGAGTGATATGAAAGAAAGCGAACGAGCAAGACAGACCAAACATGGTAGAAATTGATCGAAACGTCACGGCTATTGAACAGAAATCCAAACAACAACAATATTAGAAGAACCACTCTTTTCCGTCTTTGGAATAAGAAAACAGAGTGCCGAGTTCGAATTCCAGTCGGCCTCGTTACATTCATGTACACGGAAATATTCATCTCTTCTCCCCTAGCTATGGGTTAAAGAGTATGACTTCTTATTATCAAAAATTGTTAATGCAATAGTTACTCGTATTACAAGAGTTATTCATATAAGCTATATTTTTATTCGTATAAACTGAAATATTTTTAGGCTTTAAATAACCAACAAAAGTGTTGATAAACCCTAAAAAACAACAACAAAATCTAGCAAATAAATAAAAATAAATTAGCTATTTTCTCATTTCTAACGATAAAAAAAATTTAAGAAGAAACAAAAATAACCTATCGCATACCCCAGGTTGAGGGTAATGGTTAACGACTTAACGAATTTTTTGAAAATAAAAGTTACCTGCAAAGTAAGAGGCTAGAAGAGAGTTCCACAAGACAGAAGAGCAGGAGAAGAAACTGTTAGCATAGAATTTACGGTTACATGGTTAACGAGTTAGAGTTGAATTATTGATCACAATGTTCGATGCCCACCGCGTGCTTGACACATGTGCTTCCGTGCGAAACTAAGATAATTTTTTTCATAATTCTTTGTCTCTTCAGGAGATCACAGTTCTCCTCAGTTTCCTTTCCTTTATTGTCTGTGAATTGCCATGACTTCTTTTGAAAGATAGTAGAGCGGTTCCAATTTGTCTTCTCGAGTGTTTTGACTGGATACCAGAAAAAGTTAAAGAACCTAGCCCACCCTACAATTTAATCCATAGCTGGGGAGATTACGACTGGTTTAATGCTTTTTCCATGGGTATTATTGCAAGGAGAACGCAACAGGTTAGGGTAGAACTTGAGCTCAGATCACCGATTCCACTTTCCGCGTTGATAACCGTTATTAGTAAATATTTTAAAAGTTGTAAGGAGAGTCACGAACAAAAGGAAACTACTTTTAATAATCAGATAAAGATAAAATTTTTGGAACATAATGAAAAAAGAAGGCTGGGAGAATTTTATCACTCACAGGCCATAGTAAAGGTAAAAAAGCAGAAGAAAAATGTAGACAACGACTCAACGAGTTAGTTAAGGCAACAAAAGAGAAGAAGTCATGGAGAGCCATGACTGTCCGAGTTTTGAGAGGATAGCATATAAAAAAGACGGAGAAGAGTCTCCTGCCTTTCCCTGTTCAGTTTCTGAGCGTTGTTTCAAGAACAGGCACCGAAGGCGGCCGGACCCAAAACGGCCGAGGCGTTTTGAAAGGGGTTAAAACAAATAATGAAAACCAAAATCATTCGAATCGACCATCTCTTCTTCTTCTTCTTCTTCTTCTTCTTCTTCTTCTTCTTCTTCTTCTTCTTCTTCACCCTCATGTTTTACTCACTCGCCGAGTAGAGAATTTATAGTGAGTTTGGTCCTCCCCATGTGCTTTATACTTGTGGCCTTTTGCCCAAACTAAGTAACCATCAGTAAATAACGACAAAGGAAAAAAAAACTTGGTTTCATTTTAAAAAAAAATTGCAACTTATACAATTTTATTCCAAGCCAGCATGAACATTTCTAATCCATGAACATGGAATCGGTCTAATTCTTAGGTTTAATTCCAAAGACGTATTCAAGCGCACGAGGTCTTCATTGGGCGTCCATCAACGTCGACCCTGTTGTGGGGATGTTTGAACAGAGGCCTGCTTATTCAATCACACGTTGTTACGTGACTGCATTGACACAAAGACGCTAACACAATCTCGTAAATGAATGAGAAAAAAGAAAAGAGTCATAAGCTTTTAATAACACACCATCGAAAGAAATCTGCATTTGTCTGCCTAAGTCAGTTTTATGTACTTATAAAATAGTAAGTGGACGGTGGCGCTACAGTTTATTAGAACGGGCGTGTATTCACTCCATATTGATTCCCTTGAATTAATTTCTTACCCAATTCCCGGATATCTTGAGAAATATCTCGTCACTGGCATGCCATTACTATCTCTTAAATATTTGTATTTAATGAGTCTTGTCACTGGCATGCCACGATATGATGTTGTATATGACTAACCCCAGATAATACCAAAATAAACTTTGCACCCAGTGTCACATCGGTTCATCAGAGAAGTCTGATGCATTATAGAATTACCCTAAAATCACCTCTTAGGTCCCAGATCTGCACTTCACAATATGACAGTGGCTGTCTTCGACATGTAAATAGATGGCTAACCCAGGTGCTTAGGCGGTACATACGTGGGACGAACTAGATGACAACTAGATATATATGCTTTGTAGTGTCTTCTTAGGCCTTCAGTTGTTTTGTAAATTTTTAGATCCATTGGGGGGGGGTATGAGGATCAATTGTCACATGTTTGCGCTAGTGGACAGCAAGGCCTGCTTTAATACGTACGACAAAGCCACAATGGTAGGTAAGGTTATCCCTGAGAGAGGCAGCATGCTGCCAACTTCTTTTAATATTTTCTCGCAGTTGATCCCGATGTTCAAGTGGGCCTCGCTCAAACCTTTGTATGGATAAGAAGCATCCTTCTGACACTTTGTTTTTCCAAGAAAGTAAAGGGGATGCTGCATCGCTTCAGATTGTCTTTGCGTTTATCTTTGAAACGCAAGAAAGGCCTTTCAACTGACTTGCTAGTGAGAAGCTGGTCAAAGCTGGGGGTTTGTTTTGAAAATCTGCTATCGCTCATGAGAGAAAGATTTCCTGTCAACCTGAGCGTGTATCTTAATTTATGCCATATATATATATATATATATATATATATATATATATATATATATATATATGAGCCAAATAAGGTCTTAAGGTTTGCTATATATTTATGGGATAAAGTGCTCAATATCAGAGATAGAGCGTGTGTAAATATAAAAGTGAACATTGAAGTCAACCCTTAGAGACGACAGTCTGTTTCATGCTAGATGACTGACGATTGCATCTAGCATGAAACAGACTGTCGCCTCTAAATGTTGACATCTATGTTCATTTTTATACATATATATATATATATATATATATATATATATATATATATATATATATATATGTATAAATGCGATCGAAAAATTGTCGTCTAAAATACGCAAAATGAAAATAACACTGACATCTCATTTTAACAGATATATATTACCAAGATTACACAAAAATATCTTGAAATACTAAACAGTAAATTTATTCAATAAAATCACCATTGGCTTCAAACATGGCTTCCAGACGACTTCGGAATCTCCTGCATCTCTTCTGGACGGTCTCCTTGTTTAAGTTGGTGAATGCTGCCATAATCCTTGCCTTCAGTTCATCTTTGGTGTTACAAGGAGTTTTATTGGTTTCTCACTCAACTGTGCCCCACACATAATAATCAAGTGGGTGCAGTTTGGGGAGTTAGGTGGTCAGATGTAGGTGGTGGAGTGGTCGCAGAAATGGACTGACTGTCATGACTGGGTTATCCTGCTTTTGTGTGGCATGGTGCAGAATCCTGTTGCCAGATATAGAGTCTTCCAGCAGCCATCCTCTTGACCCAGAACAGCACTACCTCCTCAAGGCACTTAAAGTAAGCCCCTGCGTTTAATCTGAAGCCATGTGGGAAAAGGAATGGAGGCATAACGCCGCTATAGTGGTCACTCCAAACACCTTTGTAAGGAATGGAGGCATAACGTCGCTATAGTGGTCACTCCAAACACCTTTGTAAGGAATGGAGGCATAACGTCGCTATAGTGGTCACTCCAAACAACTTTGTAAGGAATGGAGGCATAACGTCGCTATAGTGGTCACTCCAAACACCTTTGTAAGGAATGGAGGCATAACGTCGCTATAGTGGTCACTCCAAACACCTTTGTAAGGAATGGAGGCATAACGTCGCTATAGTGTTCACTCCAAACACCTTTGTAAGGAATGGAGGCATAACGTCGCTATAGTGTTCACTCCAAACACCTTTGTAAGGAATGGAGGCATAACGTCGCTATAGTGGTCACTCCAAACACCTTTGTAAGGAATGGAGGCATAACGTCGCTATAGTGGTCACTCCAAACACCTTTGTAAGGAATGGAGGCATAACGTCGCTATAGTGTTCACTCCAAACACCTTTGTAAGGAATGGAGGCATAACGTCGCTATAGTGCTCAATCCAAACACCTTTGTAATTTCAATCAGAATCATCCAACTCTTTCTAAATCTTCTGAACTGTCTTCAGATTGACATCCAAACACTCTCAAATGAACTTATTTGTACCCTCGGCGTGAATGCCAAGTAGTACAGCATGCTGTTTCCAAATTTTAGACATAGTGAATTGCGTCATAATGTTTTTTTTCTTGTCACAGACGGTGCCCAACTCTCCCTGCTATAATGTGCACTCGACAGAAAACAAACAACAAAAAAAGGGGAACACGCATGCGCGAAATGAAAAATATAAAATGGTGACTATTTACCTCTCGCAGACATTAAGATAAGAGGATATAGTTGTTTTAACGCGTGAAAAGCGTATATTTTTAAAAGAAGATAAACCGCAAAGATTTTTGGCTGAAATGTAGATTTTTTATTTTAAAATATATATTATACTCTATTTTCCATAATTCTGCTACACAAGTTTCTTGTTTCGCGACCTTCTTCAAGCAAAGAATAGGTATTTCCACATATTAAAAAAATGAATTTTATGCGTGGTAGTGATTGAAATATCTTTCTGGGATTGCTGATAAGAATTTATATATATATATATTACATCTAGTTCTCCATTGAATCACTACCAACCAAAAAATTCATTTTTATAATAGGTGGAAATATCTATTCTTTGCTTGAAGACGGTCACAAATTATGGAAAATAGAGTATAATATATATTTTTTAAAAATCCACATTTCAACCAAAAACGTTTGCGTTTTTTTTTTAAATATATATATATATATATATATATATATATATATATATATATATATGAAACTCTTTATTCTACATTCAGCAACATCACTTGATAAGACATCAGAAGTGTTGAAACAAAATGGCTATTTTTGTAGTGATTTTATAAAATATTTATATTATAGTTTTTAAATAAATAATATTTGCTCTACTCTGTATTGAGCACTCTTTTTAGAATAGTATTTTTGGTTATTGGAATTTATTCTGTATACACCAATCCTATACTTGGATATATATATATATATATATATATATATATATATATAATTTTTATCGATATTTTGTTATTATATAAAATTTTATAAGTAGTCACTTTTCAGGAAGAGACATATTTTGTATGCTTCTGAATGTAAATTCACCTTTTCATTTGGAACGGTATTTCCACTCGAACATTTCATTTACAGATTGTTTAGAAACGACATCATATCCACTTCCTGATTTGAGCGGCCAAATAATACTAGTTCTAATTTGTAAACTATGTTCAAATGTCAACATTTTACAAATATAATGGTGCGTATTGTAACTTTGTAAAATTCCAAGAAAATTATAACATAACATGTAGAAGCAAGGATTGACCTTCAGGCAAAAGGGAAACTGCTTTCAGTTGCCGGGGAAGCCGAATCTATAGTTAGTCTTCCCGTTGCGTGCTTGCCTGTTAATGAATGATTCAATTTAGTCAAAATAAATCCAGTTCAAATCAAGAACTAACTACATTCACCAAGTCACCCAAAACACACGCCCAAAATGTATAAACAATAACTTTACGTGTGAAAATTTTAGTTTCTTATCTGTATTAGCTTTTATAATGATCACATTACAATCTATCTATCTATCTATCTATCTATCTATCTATCTATCTATCTATCTATGTTCATTTACATTTTCTCATCAAATCTATCTATATTTGTTCATATATATCTTCTCATCAAATCTATCTATCTATCTATCTATCTATCTATCTATCTATCTATCTATCTATCTGTTTATATGTATGTATGTCTATTGGCAGTCCTGTACACTAGACACAAAAGTCCTTCGGCGCACAAACACAGCCAGTATAGAGAAACTACTTCTCCGTATCATCTTTGTTAATATATATCGTCTCCTCCTATCTATCTATCTATCTATGTTCATTTACATTTTCTCATCAAATCTATCTATATTTGTTCATATATATCTTCTCATCAAATCTATCTATCTATCTATCTATCTATCTGACTGGATCTCCCTTGTATTTTGATACATTATATATATTTTCTCTCGTGTGGATTTGTATATGTGTAAATTGGTTACTGTTGCCTTCTTCCTACGACGTCGTTGCATTGTTATAAATATACTTGTAGCTTTTTTCTCATAGGCAAACAAATCCATATGAAACAGAAATAAAGCCGGCTATTCAAGTGTATCGCATAGTATTAGCAAAATAAATTGGATCAAGAGATACTTACTGAGGTCAGACCATCGGATATTCTAAACACGAGGTTCCTCTGCTGTGGTGCCTGAAGCGAAAAAAAAATAACATGTTGAGATAAGAACACAGTTGATGCCCTGGAAATATATAGATTGAACATAATGTCAATAATGATAAGACCGAAAAACAAACATGATAACTTATTGAGGTTAGTTTGTTGCACCTGATGTCTCGTAATGGATTCTATTTGAACAAGGTAGTGTGCTACTCTCATATAGAGTCATGTGGAGCTCTGTCTGTTTTACTGTTCCGATCTTTCTTCGTTCTGCGGTGTGTATTCAATATCATCTTTAAAGTATGCTATGTGGACAGTAGATGATAAGTCAATGTTTTGCATTTTGTTATTTATATTCCAATATCAAATCTCTTCGTTCTTTTACATCTTTCATCTAAATTTCCCATCTCTGGAATATTGATCGGCACTGTCAGTTTTCCCCAATTTTCAATCCAGAGATTGGTTTCCCTGAAGACTGGATCGCAAGAAGCCTCCTTTCCAGTGAGGCCTGCTTCAGATTACCGATTTTTTTTTTTGGTGGTGGGAGGAGTGTGTGCATTTTTGTTTCATGCTGAGTACAATATTTTCTTATTTCACTTATTCGTCCATGTATAAAAAAAAATGAAAGATGAATATGTCTTCTTTGACATATGGCTTAGACTCCGGTTTAAATCAATTTCAGAAAATAAAGAACGTAAAAGAAAACTTTAAAATATACATGACTACTTATAAATACAGAGAAGTGAAATATAAATACAGTTAGTGGCAGCGCAAAGGAGTTTAAAATATTTACAACACTTCATAAATCATTTGAACATTTGCAAACTCTTGCTCTTCTGCTGGGTTTGTTTTTTGTTTGTATAGAAGTTTGCGTCTTTAATCTGTAAAATTCCCAACTGGGAATACTTATAAACATATTTCGCAGAAGCTCGAAAAAGAATTTAAATTAATTTTTCAATTTAGAGTATAATAACAATAGAATGAAGACGTCACCATGAGAGACACAATGAACAAGTTTATGTTTCGATCTTAAGGCTTTATTTTGAAAATATAGAACCAACGGTTGTCCACCGCAAAGAAAAAAGTAAGAGTGTTTTCATAATTTTCTTTTGGAGTTCGCTGAATTCTAAAAACTCTAATAAACCTTCAAAAGCAGTTTTTTTTTAATCGCATTGACCCCAGACAAGGCAGTAAAGCCACTAAGATACAAGGGGGTTATTTGATGTGAAAGAATTAGAAAGCAAAAACAATACTATAGAGCGAGTACAAAAGAAGAGTAATCAGGAAGAAATTAGATAACGACTGACATTGCATTTACATTTTTGAACATTAAAGTGTAAAACATGGAGACAGAAGAGAGTTCCACAAGCAAGAAATGCGAGAAAAGAAAGTATATGAATTCTAGGGACTCAGTGTCTCAGTAACCATTTTACCAGAACTCATATTGCAATTTTTGTTGTTATTATTGCTTTTCTCTAGCATTACGTATTACTGGTCTCCATATTGTATGCATTTATATGCTTGACCGGCTTATGAGATTTTTGTGACATAGCATATGTGCTGATTCCTTAAGTTTTTGTATTTCCCAGTGATGCTCTCTGTCTATTATTTCAATCTCATTCCACAGGGAGCGGTGGTCTCCTTTTTCTCTCCATATGTAGTCAGCTTTGCCTAATGTTTCTATTCCCTCTCTCCAAGTTGAGCTAACCGAGGTTTTTCAAAACGAGTATTACCATTCACACACACACACACATATATATATATATATATATATATATATATTTCGTTAAATATGACATACAAGGAAAATTATATGAATTTTGTATTGATTTTTTCTAGCATTCTTAATCTTTTTTTTCAGTTTGGTAAATGTAAAGGAGTTTAAAAATTGTCCTTAGTATCTGTTGTCCCAAGCTTTCGGACACTTCTTTTTTCTTCAATGAGTTTGTTGTTAATTGTTGTTAATATCTTTACGCTAAAAAAAAAAAAATCATCAAATTTCCCTTGTCTGTCATAAACGTCTGACGTTATTATGAAGGAATTGTTTGAATGTTTTGTATGTTAGAACGTTTTTAGCTATAATTCTAGCCATATTATTTTTGGTCCTCAAAGTTAACAAACATGAATCAGTCTTAAGCGCTTGTCTTTCGAATCTAACCCATCAACCAGGGTAATTATTTTTTTGACACTTATTACCGGTTAGAAACTGATATGCATAAATGTTCAATGAACTAAAAGTCGTGGTATACCAATAACGAGAAAGTTTTATCCCGCTCGAAAGCGGAGGGATGTGCCTTCACACATTACCCCATGTGTTATGTCAACACAAACAGGCTCAACCAAGATTCGAAATCGATTTCACCGATTTTGTTTGCTATGTCGTATGAGCGTTATCGTACTCGTAATGAAATCAAAGCTGTGATTTGAGGGCGAATCTCGATGGAATTGATTTATTTTATGTGGATTTTAAGTAATTTATAAAAAAGAAGACATGTGATTGAAGAGTGAATAAAAAGGATCTTTATTATCTGGTTCTTGAATTATGCAGATATTGAGTTTAACTCAGTAAGATTTCTGTTCCTACGATGAACCGATGTGGAATTATGTGGCGTCAATTTCCGAAGAAAGAACGTTTAAGTGGACATGAAAGAAAGAAGCCCGTAAGTGAGACGGATGTTCCACTATGGGCGACGATTTTGTTTTTTTAACTGAATTCGACATAACTCTTTGAAATATGACAGAAGCTTCTAATTTCTGTAGAAGATTCTAATTTCTATAGAAATCGAAAATCCGGCTTACATGTTAAAATATTTCATGAAGTTTTCCTCGCAAAAGCTAATTCTTTGGAGAATAAATGTCAGATAATATACCCATAATATTTCAAAGACGGATGAGTTGTGTAACTAAAACATACGAGTAAAAGGAAAAATTGAAGTCGGAATCATTTTTTGTCCATAAACTTGCAAAACTATTCAGTATAGCCTTGGTTTTTCTATAAAGAAATCGAAAAATGCAGCATGAAATGAACTACCATTTAGCAGGGAAGATTTCGAACACACACACACACACACACACACACACACACACACACACACACACACACACAACTTTATATATATATATATATATATATATATATATATATATATATATATATGTGTGTGTGTGTTATAGTCCTGTCACATGTACAGCTTTGAGACAATTCACTTCAATGAATTTGTTAAACTCACAGAGCGTATGATAATCGTCAGTTTCCAGATCCTTCGCCATAGTCATGTTCTTATCATTTTTTAGCAGACGACAATCTCTCATTGCCCGCAGAAAAAGACCATCTGACTGAAAGTAGTCGTCTCTATAGCAACTATTGTAGAAAATAGTAAGTAAACATTTACAAGTAAACAAAATGGAGAGAATATCATATACAAACTCTATATATAAGACTAATAGCGGATAATTTAATGCCAAAATGAAAAAAAAAAAAACGGGCTTCGTCCATCGAAAGGACTTCTTAAGACGAAATATTTTATTCATGAAATCATATATATATATATATATATATATATATATATATATATATGGCGAGAGAATATGATCAATTTTCTCTTTTATAAAATAGCTATTATTATTATTATTATTATTAACTATTGAGTTTATGAACACATGTTCAATATTCAACAATATCATCAGACACTCACGGTATCGACCTGACCCTATCAGAAAGTTAACATCATTTAAATCACAAAAATAATCAATATGTGTAATTATATCCCCATTTATCACGAAAAAAAATTGATATGCAAATCTAAAAATCATTTTAAAAACATGTCTGCGTAGATTTTCTCTTAAAAATCGAATTTGTCATATTTCTCTCTGTTAAGATTCAATCAACACAATGGCCGTATGTGACACCTCATCCGAGTCGTAGTGAAGGTTAGTTTTCTTTTAAATTAAAATCTTTTGAATACAAATGGTTTATAACGTAGTCTTAAGAGGCATTTATAATTACAAATTAGTGCATTAATAGGACAATTTTTAAATGATTTAAAATAGATTATATTAATTAATGATATATATATATTTGCCGGAACCAATTTACCAGTTAGATGTACCGTTGCAGAAATAATTTTCCGTTACTTTCCTCAGCTAAGGGTAAATTAAAATTCTTTTACTTGGGAGATACGGATGGCCTAACGATTAAACACAATGAAAATGGTGAGCCAAATTCTGGCCCTAACTATAACAGTCTTGAGAAAGGTATGAAACAATTTCTTTTCTCAGCTAAGGGTAAACCACAATTCAGGATATTTTAGACTTTAAAGGCAGTTTGATTGGGTTTCAGGCTACCAGGTTTTGTAAAACTTTACATGTTACTGAAATCGCAGCATCAATAGTACATTTTTTTTTTACTAAAGCTTAGGCTCAAGAGTAACTCGTGGTAGAGAGTTACTGAATTAGGTGTATGATATGAATGTAAATAGAGATAGAAGGGAGTGAGGGTAAGGAGGATAGATTGCGATTGACCGTTGATTTGAAGTGATTAACATTTTAGGGTTCCGGTAATCATCCACGGGGGAGTTCTTTTGACAGAGAGTCAGAACTTCCTTCTTAAAAAATGGAACATGGAAGAAGTGAGGATCGTCCAACTCCATGGATCCAGCATAGCTGATAGTGTAGTTGTGGCCTTATAGTCCATCCCCGTCTTAACAGAGTTAAAAAGCGTGTACACGGCCTTATGGATGATAAAACATCTTCCACCCAGTAACTCCTTTCCCAC